GTGTACCCTTGGTTTTAAACACCAACGTCACATACATCTGCAGAGAGCCATTCAAAAGAGAAAGAGCCGTAGGGCACAAAAGTCATACAAGGTAATAAATGATATTAAAACAGGGCAAATCTTTGATTTATTAACTATAGAAGAGGATTAGGGCCTCTGAAAAAAAAATCTGTATGATATGAGAAAAATGTCAGAATTCTGACTTTAATTTCAGAATTCTGAATTTACGACTGAATTCTGACAGCTAAGAAACATGTTAGCATCAAGCCGTAACCATGTTTGTTCTATAGACTAAACTTGCTCTCTTGTTATAATCACCTTCTGCATTTCCATTAATGAAATAGCATCATTGGGGAACCCTTGGGCACGTAAAACCTCGCCTAATTCCGTCATTTTCCACCAAGGTGTTACTGGCCCTCCCAAACAACTCATATCTTTGGCAATGAAGCTGAGTGCTCCCATGTCGCTTCCTTCATGGTGCCCATCTACATTAAGATCTAAAATTCTGAAATTAAAGCCAGAATTCTAATGAAAAAGTCAGAATTCTTAGATTAAAACCCGATTTCTGAGATTAAGGTCAGAATTCGGAGAAAAAATGTAGAATTCCAGATTAAACTCAGAATTCCGACTTTTTTCCCATATTAAACTGAAATAAAAGTTTGCTTTTTTTTTCTGGGCTGCCCTAATTTACAGATTTTTCAAACAATAAACTTTTTCCTTTTTTTTTTTTCTAAAGGACAACAAAGGAAACTAACTAACTAGCAGTGTGCTCCAACCTACCACTGTGTACATTGCGGAGTACACACTGAGTGCCGCATCCTTAGATGGGAAGGATTTCCGTGCTGACATGACAACCAAGGGGTTGCCTGTGCAGGCGCGGCGCTCTGTGATGTACTGCATGGTTGACTGGCAGCCTAACGCTGTGTAGTTTGGTCGGCAGGCGGACAGGAAATGAGGCGTCTGGTTTCCCGTCACCACCTGGCCGGCATTGGCAAAAATGGCAGTGGTGAACAAGCCGAAGGCATACACGCCTATGTAGAAGAGGAACACAAGAATCCGATGGGAGCATTAGTGGATTAGGTAATAAGATGTTAAAGATTTCTATCTCTGCATATGGGAGAAGAAATAAAAGCAATTTCAATGTTTGTGATAAGCATCTTATCTTGTACACATGCTCAAAGATAAAACAGATGATACTTTTCCCCCTCTCCTTAAAATAGCTCCAACACTTTATTATCAGTCAAGGTGTAAAATTGTCAGAGGAGTCTTCACCTCAGCTCAAGATGCAAACTTGCAAGCTTGTTAATATTCATGGAAGTGTCCCTGCAGGGATCCTCAATCTTCTACCTCCAGGATCACAGCCCATTTAATCGTCCAATTAACAGCTTCTTGTAACAGTACAGAATGACAAACTGGAGTGTTGCTGCCTTATCTTTGATGATGCTGACTTGTTTCTTTATGTTTTCATTCATCCTCAAGCCTCACTCACAATATAGCTGTGATAAGAAGATATATAGTCCCATTAGCATAAATGTAGCTGAATTGATTGACCAGTTTTGTTTAATTTGAAGATGGTGGGGGTGCTGATTAACCTTCGTTGAACTCTGAAAGTTTTCATTAATCTTCAAAATAGTAGCAGCACAAATATAATTGTTGCTGCAGAAACATAGCACAAAGTTTGACATCATTTTTGTTAGATTTTATCTTGGCTGTTCCCCAATTTCGTCTCAGAACCAGATGAGACGGTAAAAGAAAGTTACTGAATAACTACTGATACTGAGCAAAGACGCATCTTAGCAACAAGCACTCACTGACTGAAATATTAAATTGTTGATATGGTAGGGTGACCAGACGTCCTCTTTTTCCCAGATATGTCCTACTTTTCATACCTAAAAAAATGTCAGGCGATAATTTCAAAATCGTCCGGGATTTTGGTCGACTACAGTGCACGCTCTCTGACATTCAGTCACCTGGAACGCTTGATGAACAGAGCATCACTTTGGAGAGATACGTTCAGGTTTTACAAGCAACCTCCTCCCCACACCCATGAATTATTGTATTGTCTGCACGCCCTTCATATTCAAATAAAACAATAGATATCAAGTTTTCATCCGAATACCTGAAAGGAATGTTTGCACATGGTATGATCATTAGTTGACCTAAGCAATGTTTAATATTTGGTCATCTGCTGGCAGTATTTACTCACAGATTCACCACTGTTCCTGTTGTATTTTGTTATACCTGACGCATCTCTCTAGGCATTTCATTTATTCTCTGGATTTTCTCAATTGATCGTGGACTAGGCCTTTCATTTCGCACCTGTGATGGGAAAATGCGGCTTGCTTTGCTCCATAAGATCCTGGATCACTTATATCTTGTTTAGACATTAAAGAAAGTATAAAAAAAAACTATGATGGGAGTAACGGCGTTGAAAGTAACGGCGTTACTAATGCTATGTTAAGAAGAGGGGAAAGCTACCTGCTGGGGTTTAATAGCCCTTCAGATAGCGTCCCCACCTGTTAGACAGGAGGAACACTATCTGACGGGGTTTAGAAGCCCATCAGATACCGTTCCATGTCATCAGGGGGAACGCTACCTGCAGGGGTTAAGAAGCTCATCAGATACCGTTTCCCCATGTTAGACAGGGGGAACACTATCTGAGGGGGTTTAGAAGCCCATCAGATACCGTTCCCCCATGTTAGACATGGGAAACGCTACCCGACGGGGTTTAGAAGACCATCAGATAGTTGCTTTTACAAGTAACTAGTTACTTTTATTGTGGAGTAACTCACTTTTTGGGAGAAGTAACTAGTAACTATAACTAATTACTTCTTCAAAGTAACGTGCCCAACACTGTATAAAACACAGAAGGGAAATATGTCAAGTCAACTGAGTGCTATTAATTTATCTGAAAGCCTTTGTAGGTAAGCAGAGTGAGCTAATGGCAGAAAGTCCTTATGTGATAGTGATGTTGGGAGTAGACTAAGCCCTTAGAAGCAGGACTTCTATAGACAATTACAAACAGTCAGGCCAACTATTTTCAGGTGCACTGCTGCTAAGATCATAAAAATGTTCGTAGTTTGGAAGTTCCAGCAAGAATTTATTTTTTTTTCTTAACTTCTTCTCAACTGTGGATGAAGGGACCAGAGAAAAAAATATGTTTTTTTTTGTGTGGACAGAGCCATTCTCACCTAAGAAGCGAACAATCCGCCTGAGCAGAGGGTTGAAGTAGCAGCAGTCTGCTGTGACTATGGTCTTCTCCTGGGTTCCCTCTGCCTTGGTAAAGAACGCACAAAGCTCTCCAACCAGGATCTGTGCATACAAGTAAAACAAAGAAATGTGAATCCCAAAAAGTTAAAAAACAATCCACTGGACTTGGTATCCAAGTTTGAAGACGTTTCGCTTCCCATCCAGGAAGCTTTATAATTCAAAATGTCAGAATAGCATTGGGTTTGAGGCTTTATAGAGTGCACCAAAAACAAAGCCTTGTTTTGGCTTAGAAAACATGCACATTGAACTGGATGAATGGATCCACCCCTTTGGAATGGGAGTTGTTTGCAGTGATGGGCAGTAGCGCTGCTACATGTAGCGAAGCTATTAGTTTAACTACATTTTCCAGTAGCTTGCCCAACACTGGTTGTTTGGGTTCTTTGTTAGCCTGCAATACCTCATACCTCTCTGTGTCTCTGAAAGGGGGGTCGTTAGAGGGAATTGTTGGCCTCTAACGAAGGTGTTCCCTTCTCATGTCTTCCTGCTATCATCTATGGTTTAACTAGTGCTATTGTTTTAGCTGTATTGTACTTTGCTTGCTGGCAGTACGTCAGAAGCTTGCTTAAAACTTGTCCAGACTCGGACTGCCACCATCTTTTTGTTTATTTGGAACGATACATACATTTTGGGCAAAATGTGCAATGAAATTTGCATTGAAAATATTCTAATTCTACTTCAAGCAAAAACGTGTCTATTTTTGTCTATTATGTTCTCTTCAAAGTAATTCTGCCTTTCATTTTCCTTCTTTTAACTCATTTACACAGTTGTGTAGTATTTTATTAGTAATATTTTTTATCCAGCTAAACCTAACCAAATGCAAAGTACGTTTTTGTTAAGACAAACTTTTTGGAACCAAGTAAAAGAACAAAAACCTAATTAAAAAAGATTTTTAAGTACTGTTAGCATGCAGCAACATGTTCAACACTAGAATCTTATGATGCAAAAAGCATAATTTACTTCATAACTGCCTGTCATTGCTAGTGTTTTTTCATGTTTAAATTAATGTGGACTGCATTTTAGCAGTTATTACGTGAAAAGTCTTTTGCTTTTCACTTAATAACTGCAAAACCTCAACAAATCAGTTCTGTATTGAGGCACTGATCCATTAATTGATTTATAGACTAACAGAAGTATGTTAAGTCTATTCTCTGAGGTACAGGGAACCAGTGAAAGGACTTCAGAACTGGGCTGATGTGCTCTACTTTCTTAGTTCTAATGAGAACACTGACAGCAGCGTTATGGATCAGCTGCAGATGTCTGATGGACTTTTTTGGCTAAAACTACGAGGGAACTGTTGCAGAAATCAATTCTGTTAAAGTTACATGAATATTGAGTTTTTCAAGATCTTACTTGTACATTAGTCCTTTAATCCTGGAAATGTTTTTCAGGTGATGAGAGGCAGACTTAGTAACTGCCTTTATGTGAGAAATCGTAAACCATGCAAGTAAACTCATTATAGCCCTGAGAAAGTGAAGAACGTGTGTCGATTAAAGCTGTCAGTCAGTGTTAAGATGATGTGTGGAGCTTCTTTAAATTCCAGCTTCTAACCAACATTGTTAAAGCTTTTTTTCACACATAATGAGAAAATCACAGCAATATTTAGCCTTCAATAAGAACATCTCCAGGTAGGAATTGTGTCACTGAATCTGTGGTGTCTGCACCACTACCTCTGTAGTCCTTATTTATATACAGCAAATAACGAAGCAGTTCAAAGCGTAGTAATGACTAATGTGTTACTGTCATTTACAAACTAATTAGTTTTCTTTAAAGAGCATACCAGGCCAAGCCTAAATCAACGGCAGCAAAACCAAGTGCTAACATGTTTTGAGCTTTCTTTATAAAGTAAAGACAAACTTTATTTCAATAATGGTTTAAATATGTTTTCTAATCTGTTCATTACATTTAATTCATATGACGAAAGAGTCCTTAAAAACTGTCCTCCCTCATGTTTTACCTTCTTTGTCTAAACAGAACATAGCTAAAAACACACATCGGCCATCTAGAGTGTCCCTGGTGTTAATAAGGCAACCAAAGTTATTAATACCTCAGGAATACTCACATTGTATTGATACTCAATTATCTAAATGGTTATTGATTTCTGATCAGACAAATAGAGTCTTTAAAATATTATTTTAAAATCAAATTATCCATTGCAAAACCATCAAGATAAACTTTCTTCCTAAATATAAAATGATTTTGTTGCATTATTTTACTGTGGATCATTTGGTGCTATGCTAATCAAACCACATGAAAAAAGTAAAGGCACATCTCTGATGTCTACTGGTTTTTTAGTTCTCAGTATTTTTGTGTTTTTAGATGTTTGCCTCAGTTTTTCATTAAAACTAGAACAAAACAAGAACTTATCTCTGCCTCACTCATCTCTGCATATGGTTCCTCAAGCAACTTCACCCCCCCTTGACACCTAAGGTAAACGGGCAGCTGTACAGGGATTGCGGGAAAAAAAAGGAAATGTTTTTATTTAAAATAAAATAGGTTAGACTGGTGCAATCTCCAGCTGTCTACGGGGGAGAGGCGGGGTACACCCTGGACAGGTCGCCAGTCCATCGGAGAGCAACAAAGGGACAGCTTTCCCAGCTTTTGTGTCATTACACTGTCAGAAGTACAGAGCAACAAAATGAACTCTGCATTTAACCCATCCCCTTTGGGAGCAGTGGGCTGCCATTGTGCAACACCTGGGAAGCGGTGTAGGGTTAAGTGTCTTTGCTCAGCAACCCAGAGTGGCAGTCTGTGGGAGTGGGGTTCGAACTTAGATAGGGTGACCATTTCATTTGGGAAAACCAGGACACCTTGTTCCCATGCATAGATCCTACAATAACATCATATTTACAGTTGTTTTAGTAAAAAATGCTTTTCAGTAAAAGTCAACAGCAATAACTCCAATAACAAACGATAATTTCATTCAAAATGTATTTATTAAAAATGCTTAACAATTCCTGTAATGAATGAATAGCACAATGAAAAAATAATGTATCATCTAAACATCCCTCACTTAACAATAAAAGTTAACTCAACTCCCAATAACAGATGATACTCAGCCTCAGTAATGAACGAAATAATGTCTGTTCTGTAGGCTATTGGAAAAAATACATTAACAAATGAGCTAATTAACAAAAAATACCTCTTGTGTAGCAAAAATTATTCAAAATGTAACAAAAACGAACAAACATATCAATACACTATCTTTACTTTCAGAGTCCAGGTGGCTTTTTGAGATCCCTTGCACCTTCATTAGACACCGAGACATATGTGCCTGCTTTGCACACTGTGCACAAGGCTTCCTATTTGTCTCAACCCGGTCTGAAAGTGGGGAAACTCTTTTGTAAATTGTCGGAAAACATACATTTGTGCTTTTGCATGTTGTTGGCGTACTGACAGCCACGCTATCTATATTCCGATTAAGAACAGGGCTGCCCGCACTGACGCGGCTCAGGGCTTACGTCACACGCAGCATCGTGCGCAGTGCCCTAGTGCCTGTAAATTTAATGGTCCAATTAAGGTAATTTAAAAAATCAGGACATTTCCTCACTTTCTTAAAAAAAAACGGGACGCCCAGGACAGGACGTGAAATACGGATATGTCCCGGGAAATACGGACGTTTGGTCACCCTAACTTAGAGCCTCTGGATTCCAAGCCCAATGCTCTAACCACCAGTCCGCCATTATGCAGACAATGTATTACTCTTTCTCTATAACTCAAAAATCCCCCTTTCGTAATTAAATTGTTAGAAATTGTCTCAAAAATCTCAGATTACTCTATAAATTGGTCAAAATCCCTCCTATTAATTATATTTTCTAAAAGGGCCCCCATAAACACCTGCAGTCGAGGAATGTAAAATATTTAGGTATCAATATCTCTCACAAATTAATGGATTTAATAAATGTAAACCATATCCCACAACTAAAAGAGTGGAAAATGATCTCGCTAGATGGAAATCCCTACCCATATAGGGCTGCCTCCAGCCTCAGACTGGTAATCTGTGACACTGGGCATCTGCCCAGAGGCATTAGAGTCCTAATTTCAGCGTGTGAGGGCCGGCCCTCCTTAAAAAACTAACTCTCTTACTCTCTCACCGAAGCACCTACCTGTGACAGTAAATAACTCAAGGAGCTCAAGAAGTATTACAATGTTAACTTCCTAAATGATGCATGCAGTATATATAGCCCTTCTTGTCATGGACATCCCTGTGACGGTTGACACATGGTGGAGTTTTCTATTTCTTCAAACTGTAAATTATAATAAAAATAAAATTCTTTCTTTAAACCAAAGTACTGTCTCCCTTTTATATTTGGCAAATTTATGTTTGAATATTTTGCAAAATTATGTTGTGGTGCATGATGGGGTTTTGCATCAGTTTACATTAATCCATTTCATTGCCCACATGCCACCTAGACTTGAAGTGAATGTTTACACACAGCTGAGCTTTCATGTATTGATTCTTGAAGAACTGCCTGTCTGCCTCTATATTGTATTGCTTTATGTTTTTTTTTTTTTTTACAACACTCGGGCTTACGCTGTAGAAGGTTGTGTGAGTATCTGTAAGGTTGCCTGGCAAGTACAAACGTCATGCAGCAGTCACGATGCATCCGTGTTAATAACCAAAGCCAGTAAAACCGCATTATAGAAGTCTTGGTGATGGTTGAAGATAGATCGGTTAATCCACAATGTGTATTCATATTGTGTTTCACATTTGAGACGCACACATTTGAAGGTGCTTCTATTTTTTTTTGGGGGGG